TTGAGAAGCACCTCTGTTTTGTAGTGGAATTTATCTGCCCACTTCTTAACATTCTACTGAATTCAGGTGTAGGGCTTCTGACCAGATGGAAGGAGCACTTTCACCTATTTTGTGAATGGCTTATGCCATGAAAGGACACTGCAAAGAAGCATGGGGTGGCCAGTGTTTCCCACTGTCTGTCCAAACAGAGTTTGTGACCTAGAGAACAAAGAAAAAAGGGTGCTGCTGCCTATCTGAAATGGGGTGGTGATCTTTTCCTCCACCATGACACAGGCAGATGTAGCCTAGATGGCAATTGTTGATGCAGAAATGTTCCCGGCTCTCTGGGTATCTTGCACTGCCAGGAGGAAGGGATGTTTTCTGAGGGATGTTTCTGAAGAGAAAGAAATCTTTACCTTCAAAATGTGCATGAAATCACATTGTTTCCTTTGATATTTTGTATTTCAAATGTGCTTTTGTTCAGGTTTTGGGGGAATTCTCTGATGCACTGGTATCTACAAATTAAAAGTTACTGTCCCTGTTCTCTTAATCATAATAATGAGTTGAACTTGGCAAGGTTATTCATGACTGGAAAGCAGCATAATTATATGTATTGGGCAGGTAAAAGGAGAAGGTTAGGAGCAGGGAGATGATAAAAGGCAACTGAAAGACTGTTATGGCTGACCCTCCATTGTTTACAAGTCACTGCCAGGCCCATGGCTCTGCAGCCCAGTGCCTCTCGCCACCGAATTCCCCTGAGACATCAGTGGCTGCCTGCTTTCCCTCACTGGGGCGCAATTCAGTAGACATCAGTGCTTCCCCTTTCACCTGAGCGTCAGCACTGCTTGACTCCAAAGGCAGGTAATTAACTATCAAACAATAGCGGGGATTTTCAGATTAATTCTGCCCAGGAAGAAATAGAAAAACTCATTTTTAGCAAACAAAAGGGAGGGGTGATTAGATGCCCTGGTGACAAAGGAGAGGCGTAGATAGGGCCTGGAAACTGATAAAGAGGCCAAAGCGTTTTATTATGATTACACTAATATCTCTGTTTTATAAGCTCGCCATTCTTTTGCTTTCTTTCTTGCAAACCTGCCTCTAAGAGAGATTAAAGTCCCACAGGTATGAAGGTCAAGGCTGAGGAGTCGGTTTTCCGTGCTTGGATAAGGAGGACTTTCCTAATGTTCCACAGAGAAGCACAACACACATTCATACCACCAATGCTCACAGGTCTTTAGAAACACAGGGCTGTAGAGATACCACTTCAAGTTACCCTTAAATGAGCAGACAACTCCGTGCCACCGGAAGCTCTATCCATTGTATATTTTCCAAACTAGCTTCTTCTAAGGAACAATGCAGGGAAGGGATGGTCGTTACACAAGTTCTGAAGCTTGGTTTGGCAACAAGAGCAAGAGGGTGAAAGGGCTAAAACGTTCAGCTAGACTCCAGAAGCAGCCACTTATTAATTACACTCATAAAGTGGAAAACTGCAAGGTCAGAGGGATGGAAGCCACTAGATCCACATTTTTAAATAAATCTTAGGTGGATCTCCCCGACTCTGCCCTTAAACACAGTGCTCTGGCTGCCTAGCGGGAAATGCAAAGCCCCACGTGATAGCTCTTAGTTCATGAGATTGTGACTAGTATGTGCAGCACACCTCATTGTCAGCAGGCCCACCCAGCCAAACTCACTTGCCTCCAACTAACTCATGTTTCCTTGTGGCGCTTCAGGTGTGTGGGTGTCAGCCTCTCCCAAAACTCCGAGGTAGAAGTCTCAGAAACCTAACGGATTCCCTGCCCCTGCTTCGCACTTAAGCAGCCCAACGCTCTCTCTGCCTGTCTCCTTTACCTATGCCTTCAGATCTTCTCTTCCTAGCTGAGAAAAGAATTTCCTTGTTCAGAAGAAAGGGATGTTTTGATATTAAAAGAAAACCAAACACAAGCAATTCTTGCTTGTCTTAATGTCTGTTCTTTCTCCAAAATTTCATTCTCTTTTCTCTGATACACCTGGCCTTCCAGGCAAAGGAAGTGTTCTAACATTAACATCAAGGGCGGGCCCAAGCGAGTAACAACTTACAACGCTGTCCAATAAGGCTTTGGTGATGAAAGTTCACCTGGGAGGTGAAGATGACAGAGCTTATGGCTAAAGATCCCGTCCACAGCTCTTGAGCTCATGGACCAGGGGTGCAGGGTGAGGTACAAATACACAGCTCATTTGTTCATAGATTTTGTCATGCTTTAAAATGTCTAACCAGGGGCTGAGGATACAGCTCGGTGGTCTAAGCGCCTGCCTGGCAAGTGCAAGAACCAACGGGGCAAATGGGATATCTGATAGTCTGAACTGTACACATCATCGTAGACCCTAAATAGAAAGTGGGATACCGTGAAAATGCTACTCCCTTCCAAGTGGGTCTGTGCATATGTACTGCTGGCTACACACAGAGAAAAACACAAACACATAGGCAGCCTATCAGATTAGTTCTTTGTTTTTGCTGCTGTTTTATTTTTTCCTTTTCTAAAGATCATAGCATCCTGCAAACATAGCGAGTCTGTCTGACTTCCACGCTGGCCATGCTCTCTTGAGGGTTGAAAAGCAGCTTAAATACAGATAGTTTCTAGTAGGAGAATTAAGGCTCTGTTCACTATAATAAACAATCCCCAAATAAATGTATTTCTTTTTCTTTTTTTAAAATCCTGTGTGGTAGCATATCTTTTTTCCAATACAGAGACAGAAGAGTCAGCTCTATTTAGCTTGTGTGATTGCTTTTAAGAGTAGGGACAAGTTGACTCTGAAAAAAACTATGGTCTTCTATTCATTAAAGTGTCAATAGTACTCGGCCCAGGCATATTGACAGCGGATTAGCTTGGGCTGATTCTGTGTACGAGACCAACGCCTTTTTTAACCCAGCTTGTTTCCAGATCAATATACCCATCAGCATTTGAAAATTAGCCCAAGATGAGATTGCAACATCCAAGGTGATATGTCATGCTAAGAGGGCACCTGGCCAAGGCCTAGCTGTAAGCACGCACCTGAGGATTAGACATGTTCCATTAGTTTGGGTGTTGGTGGAGATGAGCGTGGACTGTGGAATTCCACCTCCTCCCGGTGCCCCTGCCCCTAGCCGTCACCCACCATTCTCTCTCACAGCCCATGGACATTCCTTGCATTAAAATTCCAGCTGTTTGTTTTAATAAGCACTTATTAAATATTCAATTTATTTGAGGTGCTTTACCACATGCTTAAGGTTAGTGTGTGTAGATTTAAGAGAAAACAATGACAAAACAAGGTTTCTTATTCTAAGAGACTTCAACACTTTTCATAATTCCTTCCATTTTCTAGCTCCATGAAGGTTCTGCTTCCTAAAGTGAATATGTGCTCACAGGTCTTAGACTTTCATCACCACAGCTAGATAGTCTTCTCTAGGAATGATGTCAGAAGAGCTATCTGGTGTGAATGTTCTAGAAGCAAGCACTGGAGCACTTACCAAATGTCCCTATACAGCAGTCATCCTTAAACTTTTATTTTGTCTATCTACAATAAGAATGAATTTTCAATTAAAAGCATAGACACGTTAAGCACAAAGACCTTGCCTGGCAATACCCCTCTGCTATGTATAATATACTCTAATACCTTCTGTGAAATTCTATTTCAAAATGCCACTTGCATTCAGGGTATAATATTCATTACAGAACCAATCAAACAAAGAAAACACAATCACTTCCTCTGGTGAAATGACTAAGAAACAAATAATAACTCCTTGTGACCATGCTCTGCCCCAGCATGGTGGTTTCCAAGGTCTCCTGGTTCCATCTCTGACTGATCCTGGCCTGACCTCCCACTTACTCTGTCTTTCTCTCTTCTTACTGCTCAATCAACCTGTTTTCCACCACGCTCATTAATGATCCAAGTTCCCTCCTCACTTCTCACAGCTGCAGTCCTTTGCTTCGCCAGCTCCTTGAGGTCTTCTGAAGCCATACTCCTCCTTTTTTCTCTAGGCAGTCCCCCCAGCTATGGCTCAAATTTGTCTCAAGCACACTGACAGGGAGCATCAGCTGTATAAGTCTCCAGGAGAAAACGCCATTGCCCCACACCTGCCATTTGTATGGATGAAGGGAACCTGGAAGCAGCTTGGAAAAAGCACTGCAAGGCAGAAGCTGGCATGCCCTTGCTCTGTGGCGTTAGAGAGCAAAACAGCTAATGAATCAAGGGTACCACAGATTTAAAAAGTTAAAGAATAATAGCAGTACTTAAAAAGCATACAGTGGTGTAATATCTAACATGTAAGCTGCCCTTCTATGGCCTTCCACTGAGTGATTCATAGGGTTGACAGGTAAAAATAACCCTCATCCACCTCTACCATTGGCTGTATTTCAGTGAGAGAGACTCCAAGGCACTGTGATAACTTGATCAAGGTCATTTAGCTGGTCATTTAGCCGAGTGTGACTCCAGGTTCTTGCTACCTAGAAACACATCCACATGCTAAGCGCTCTGCAAATATCTCAGGACCACTTCTGCTTTGTGGGAAAAGGAAAATGCCAGTCCCACGCTCTGAGAAACAAGGGCTGAGCCCAGAGAAATACACATGCACACATATACACATACACACAAATACACGTACACACAAATACACATACACACATGTCCACAAAACAAACACATAAACAAAACCCAGAAAGTTGCACGAGGTTGCAAAAGTGCAGACTGCAGACAGGGCCGAGGTTCCACTGAAGCAGAAAAGCAAGCACAGGTTTTAAAGCAGGGATCCATAACTGAAAAGCCAGGACTAGGAGAGGACAGACAATAATTAGAACAAATATATTATTAGAATAAAACAAAAAATACTAGATCTGCTCAATGGCAAATGACTGGAATTCAACTTCCAAGTGCAAATTGCAACATGGCGGCCAGATGGGCATCTGCACTGAGAAGAGACAGAAGTCAACTATGCCAACAACCACAGGTCAAGTCCTCAGCGCGGGCTGCCCTGGCTCATGCTGGCCCACCCCGTAAGCCCTACTCACCCTGTACAATGAGGTGGACCCTGGAGGTCTTTGGGTGGTTGTCTGTCTGCACAGAGCACGTGTAGGGGCCCTCGTCGTACACATCCACGTTCTGGATCTCGATGCTGTACTGGGTCTGGGTGTTGCTCAGCAGGACCACTCGAGGGTCCAGGCACCACTTGTCATTCCCAGCATAGAGGATTGTGCTGCGGTTTAGCCAGGCTACCCGGGTGACCCGGTTGTCGATCGTGCACCTGAAGATAACACAGATAGGCGTGTCAAAGGACTGCAGAGAACAGAGAGGTCACCAGTGTGGCGTCTTCGCAGGAAGGCCAGCTATCTATGTTTAATGCCTTATGTCACCCCTTCACACCCAGTATATACACATGCCTTCTTTGACCTCTCCTGGCTGGAATGCTCTAGAACTCAGAAGCAGAGGAGTTTTGAGTTTATGGTCTCAGAACAATGGCTGCCTCAGACTGGTAGGTCCTGACAAGTAATAAATGCTTCTGAAACCATCCAACCAGAGGATTTCTTCAAAGCATCTTGGAGATTCTTGCATACACAGAATGCTGGACTCTCCAAGAAGCACCCGGCCATCCCCTGGTCCCAGGATTTCCATGACGTGGATGCTGGTAGCCCCTTGCATCACTGTCCAAGTGTGCTGCACATACCCGACCTTCAGTGCTTGCATCCTGTGGAGTATGTGCTACTGGAAAAAGATTCGGGAAGGGGGAAACTAAATAATTCTCCAATTCACACAGTTTCCATGTGCTCTCTCAGAAACCCAGCTTTTAACTACTAACTATCATTTCACTCATCTTAGAATAGCAAACCCCGACAGACGGCTTATGAAGTCAAACTAAATATGGACCACCACCATTGCTATTTACCTTCATTATACCCAGGGGCAGAAATGTTCAATTATCGCTAGACTAAAGGCATTTTCCAAACTGTTTGCACATACAAAAATAGATTCTTTTTCTTTTATTTTTGCATCTGGAGTCCTCAAATTGTGCAAGCCTCCTTCTCCTTTCCATGCTTTGCAATTTCCCAGCGTCTCTTGCCAAGTCCTCCTCATGTCTTTCTGTCTGTATTCGCTTTTCCCTCTTGCTGTATCCAGTATGTCATATGGCCTTAGGCTAAATTCACAAACTCAGTGTCCTGATCCTAACTATAATGCTGAAAATAACAGCGTTGCAAGATGCACATAATGATGCCTCAAATTTACACACTCTTTTGCAATGTACAGGGTACTTAGCCTCTCACTCTGTCTCATTTGATTCCTGTAATATCTGTGAGGTGGGTGTCCTCACTTATGCTCGGTTTTTAAAGACAGATTTTAGAGGTCCAGGTGGTCTAGGTCTTGTCCAACGTAAGGAAAAGAAAGAGCAGGAGTTACATCTTTCAGCTAGGTTTTGCAATCCCACTCTTGAATAGACTGCAGAATGTACAAAGGTAAATTTTCCACCAGGGAGGGAATTTTGTTTCTATGGAATCATCAAAATGATCTGTGAGCACAGATAGCAAACCAATCAGTGCAATCTGTGAGCCACTGCTGACCACCACTAAGTGGCTAGTTCCGGCTTCTGTGGCTAGTTTCTCTCAGACAAGACATCCTGTACTCGGCGTTCACGTTGCTTTACTCGCTCAGTTGTCACACCGCTAAGGGACAGCCACTCACAAGCAGGTGACTGCTCGGCCGAGTGCTCCCATGGAGAACCTACTAAAGAGAGACTTGCCTGCTGTGGTGCCCAGAGCTCTTGGTGCTGAGCACCAGGAAGCGCCAAGTGTCCCTGTGTTTCCTGGCGATGCAAGACAGACGCTGGCCTTTCTGGTGCCCTTCTCGTATTAGGCATGGAAGTGACCAAAGAGCTAGCTAGAGAAGTACCAGAAGGCTAGCTGAGGAAGTAAGGGAGGACCCCTCATATGAGAATCAGAGAAGGTCGCTAACTTATCTAATACTCCATACTTTGGATTCAGAACTTTACCAGCCTGGAAATAGAAAATCTTAGCAGTAATGCAAGTTTATAACAGTAACTCACTTGTGTCATGTGCAGGCTAAATTTTAAAAGGCAATGCTGTGTAACCATGCATGGAGGGCTCCCTGGGCATGGCGGGAAGTGAAAGTGCAGGCCTCTGTGCAGGATCAGAAAGCAGTCTAAGGAGATGAGAGGAAAAGAGCATGAACCCAAACATGCGTTCTTGTGCAAATAAACAGCCAGGTAGCCGGCTCTGGATGCCTCACGTGCACTTGCGGTCTTGCTGCTCTGCAGACCCGAAATGGGGCCTGAGCTTCTGCATGGTGCACAGGTCCCCAGGGTGTCAGCGCTGACATCCCCCAGCCGTTCCTGGAGCAGCATTTCTGTGCAGGTTACTTTCGTGCACAGGAGCACTGAAGAAGCACTAAGATGTGGTAGGCGAAGGACTCCGTGGAGACCTCCTGGGAACTTAACTTGTGAGAATTGCAGAATGTTCGGACCCACTCGAGAGACTGTGAATGAGAATCTGCATTGTAACAAAACATTCATGTAACTCACTCTTTGTGTCTAGATGTCCCCCAAAGCCTCGCAGTCTTGGGAGCAGCTTAGGCAGTGTAAGATGAATCTAGAGTCTCTGATGGCACAATGCTGGGATTGAGAAGCTGGGATTAAGCATCGGTGATTGCTGGATAGGCCCATTGACTGGATTGGCACCTCCCTAATGTGAGTAGGCCAGGTACAACATGAGGTTCCAGAAAGAGGCTGGCTTTTCTCTCTTGTTGCTTTTTCTGTCTCCCACGGCCGTGAACTGTTGCCCCTCTGTCATGTGTCACTCTGCCTGTGAGCTAACCAATCATGGATGGAAACCACTATAGACTAGGAGCTAAGCAAACCTCTCCTCCTTTAATTTGGGATTTTGGGTATTTTGTCTCAGCAATGAGTAAAGCAACAAGAAAGTGACTCAAAAGCACACAAAGGGAGTGTGTGGAGAGCTTCCTGCTACCCTGCGCTGGCGGGACCAGTCCCAGCCCAGGCGCAGCGTGGGCCGGAACCTCTCCCGCCCCCTCGGGCCGCCCCCCACCACTCCGCCATACGTCCCCACCCCTCCCGCCAAGTAGGAATTTCCGCCGACTTCCTGGAACCCCCAGACCCAGTCCTAGCCCAGGTCTGGTGAGTTTGTGGAGAGCTTCCTGCTACCCTGTGCTGGCGGGGCCAATCCCAGCCCAGGCACAGTGTGGGCCGGACCCTCTCAAGCCCCCTCCGGCCGCCCCCCAGCACTCCACCTTACCTGCCCCACCCCTCCCGCTAAGTAGGAATTTCTGCCGAGTTC